TTCTAACAAATCAGGCTCGAGAGAAAATAGACTGTCTTGAATTTAACAAAGATTGAGGCGATATTTTGCTTTCCATGCAAACAAACCAACAAATTGTGTTTATAGTGTGCCTTTTGTGTCGGGAGGACATCCCAAGGGCCTGGACAGTGAAGGGTTTGAACCCGAGCCGGAGGTTGGAGTCAAGAGGGCTGGAGGGCAAGGGGTGGAAGATGACCGAAGGTGCAGTCGAACAGGGGCATCTTGTGGCAAGCCTTGAAAGAGGCAAGGGAGGGAATGAGGCAGAGGGAGTCCAGGGTGAAATTCCAGAGGGTGGGAAGGCTCTTTGCACGTGAACAAGTTGGCGAAAATGAAATAAATTGGATAGAGCAAGAAGTCAAAAAGTGGCAGAAAAGATTAGAAAAATTACAATTCATAAATCTGGTGAACCGCACACGTATGTTTTAAAATAGAAAAAAATTGTAAGGCATTGGCGTTGTTCTGAATGAAACCTTTCAAAACGAGACTGGATAAAATAGGGAAAGGAGGAGAGCCCTGAAGCCAAGAAAAAAAATGAGAAAACGGTAATAGGAGAGATCCTGAAATGGATGCAAATAGCTGAAAATAACAATAATAATAATAATCCTTCATTTGATATAGTGCTTATTACATTGTTGAGACATCTCAAAGCGCCTCACAGGATATATTGTAAAGTGAGTTAAGTGTATATTTTGTCCATAAGCAGCCGGGGGCTTCACCCCTGAACCTACACCAAGGCGGTGAAATCAGGACTTCAACCCTCCATCCTTTGACCTTAGCTCTGCTACAGCTAATCCCTTCTCTTATACCCTAGATTCCCTTCTCCCTCACTTATGCGGCGTTTTCTCTTAAACACATTGATGCTTTTTGCTTCAACCAAAGTTTCCTGCAGTGAGTTCTACATTTTCACCACCCGCTGCGTAAAGAATTTCCTCGTAAACTCTTCTTTAGATTTTATATTTATGCCCTCGCATTTTGGACTCATCAAGTAGAAGCGACCTATTAACATCCAGCTTATCAATTGCTTTCATAATTTTAATTTTAAACCTCTATCAGGTACCATCTCAGTAGGTTCATCTCCAGGGAGAAAAGCAACATCCCAGTATGTAATACATAAAGAGGTAATTATTATTATTAAATAGTATTATTAAATATAGACATGCAAATTTTCCAACAGGTATGGTTGGATAATTTCAGACTGTACAGGGTGTCCATAAAGTCCTGCTACCTACATTTTTTTTTGCTACAGTACACTGATCATCAACTGGAACATGTGGAAGAATGATGATAATTGTATTTAGAAGTACTTAATTGTATTCAGTACAAGTGTTTAACTCTATTTAGTCCAGAAGATCGGTGTGAGCACCATCAATCATGGCAGTTAATGATCCATCATCATGTTCATTGCGACATCTCCCACAACATGGATAAAGTGAGGAGGCAAAATCTCTTGACAGATTGTTTCAGCTCCTCCGTAGTCTCATATCGCTGTTTTATAATAGTGGAGGGTAAGAGGGCTTTTTGGACACTCTGTAGTTTGCATCTGATGGGTTTTTGTTTGCAATTGCAATTCTGAAATGTTCAAAAACATTTTTTTAAAAAAGGGGAACTATCATTAACTTGTACTGCTGAAATGGTTGGCACTGGAGTAGGAGTTTCTGTTTCACACAGGATATCCTAACAGGATATATTACTGTGCAATAATAGTTCCTAAAAAAGTAACGGATTCATGGCCTCACAAATTAAGTGAAATCCTTTGAGGTAAGTGAAACTGTTCCAGTGTATTACCGTTTGACTTGTATTTTAAAAAGTTATATTATTTGATAAAACATTGACACCAAATTGGTGAGAATGGGAAACAACTCTGGATCCAGAACGAGACAGACAAAGAGAGGTGATCACTTCATACAGCTCAACACAGGAAAAATGCAAGAAACTGGACATAGTAAAAGTGGGAGGCACATGGACTTCACGGACTGGGTAGAACATGGTAAGCAGGAGTCACTATTGAGTGTTGACTCATTTTCCTCTGGTTAGAACTTCTGTAATTTTTAAGGTTGTCTATTCACTCCTAACAGTCTCACTGCTGATCTTGCCAGAAGAATCCTATTCCCTTACTTTACATTGCTTTGGGATGTCCTCCTGACCTGAAAGGTGCTATGTCAAATGTAAAGATTATTCTTTTATTTTATTACATAAACTTTAAAATGTAACATCAGGAATTGCTGGCTCCCCCACCCCAACACACACACATACTGATTTTTGCATTTTCTGTAATGGCAAGCCTTTTGTTTAAAACTTCCTATACCCAGTCCCGTGTTATTGCCTACAAAAAATAGTTATTACACTTAACAATAAATCCTGTTTAGCGCTTTGACACATTTTTTTTTTGACGACTGTTTGTGGGGCACTGCTGTGCGTAATTGGCTGCCGCGTCTCTCCGGCAATATACACTGTCAATTCCTCTTTACAGTATATTCTGTGAAGCGCTTTGATACTCACAATGATCGGTTAAGGCACGATATCATATGCAAAGGATTATTATTATGCTTATTATTATTATGCTTCCCTCGTGAAAGGCAGTATATCAAATACAAGGAGGTGCGCACTATCACGCTGCATTGCTGGGAGATGCATTCTTCAGATGAGACGTTAAACTGAAGCCACGTCTGCCTGTGCTGGTGAACGATAAAGATCCCATGACACGGTTCAAAAAGAGAAAGGGGATTTCTTCCAGGGTCCCGCCCAACAATCCCCAACCCCCACCCAATAAAAATTAGGGACCGACTCCACATCTGCTTGTGCATTGTTGTGCGGAAATTGATTGCTGGCGTTCACCTCCAAAACACACAATCACAACACTTTGCGGTAAATCCCGTGAAGGAGCGCTTTGAGATCTTATAGACGACCAATTTAACATCATTAACAAAACGCGAGGAATGTTATTATTATTATTGTTGTTGTTTTTATTATCCAGACGGCCACAGGGGGACTGACTCGATTCCCTACACACAAATACACTCCTACACACTCACCCTACACACACACCCCTACAAAAACCCCTACACACCTACACATACACACCCCAACACACACACACCCCTACACACACACACACCCCTACACACACACACCCCCACACACACACCCCTACACACACACACCCACACACACACACCCCAACACACACACACCCCTACACACACACACACTTACACACACACCCCTACACACACACACCCACACACACACACCTAGACACCCCCTACACACACACACACTTACACACACACCCCTACACACACACCCCAACACCTCTACACCCACCCCAACACCCCTACACACACACCCCTACACACACCCCCCAACACCCCTACACACCCACCCCTACACACACACCCACACCCCTACACACACCCTACACACCCACCCCTACACACACACACCCCTACACACACCCCCCAACACCCCTACACACACACCCCTACACACACACCCCTACACACACACCCCAACACCCTACACACACACCCCTACACACACACCCAACACCCCTACACACACACCCCTACACACACACCCCTACACACACACCCCAACACCCCTACACACACACACCCCTACACACACCCCCCAACACCCCTACACACACACCCCTACACACACACACCCCTACACACACACCACAACACCCCTACACACACACCCCAACACCCCTACACACACCCCCACACACACACCCCCACACACACACCCCTACACACACCCACCCCAACACACACACACCCCCACACACACACACCCCCACACACCCACCCCTACACACACCCACCCCACACACACCCACCCCAACACACACACACCCAACACACACACACCCCAACACACACACACCCCTACACACACACACCCCAACACACACACACCCCCACACACACACACCCCCACACACACACCCCTACACACACCCACCCCAACACACACACACCCCCACACACACACACACCCACACCCCCCCACACACACACACACCCACACACACCCCAACACACACACACCCCAACACACACACACCCCCACACACACACACACCCACACCCCCCCCACACACACACACCCCCACACACACACCCCCACCCCTACACACACACACCCCCACACACACACCCCTACACACACACACCCCCCCACACACACCCCCACACACACACACCCCCACACACACACCCCTACACACACCCACCCCCACACACACCTAGACACCCCCTACACACATACATACACACACCCGTACACACCCCAACACACACACACCCACACCCCTACACACATACAGTCCTGTAGCTCAGTGGTTAGAGCACTTGCTTTGCAAGCGAGAGACCTGAGTTCAATTCCAGGCAGAGGGCGAAACCTTGGGCAAGTTTCCTTACTCCACACAGAGCCTAATAATAATCCCTCCAAAAAACCAAAAACAATAATAAATTGGTCATTTTCAATCTACGACTGTTTGTGGGACATTGCTGTGCGCAATCGGCCGCCGCGTTCGCCCACAAATATACAGTCAATTCACTTTACAGTGTGTTCTGTGAAGCGCTCTGGGACGTCCTCCCAACGTGAAAAGCGCTATATCAAACGCAAGGATTATTATTATTATTATTATACACACACACCCCAACAGCCCTACACACACACACACCCCTACACACACACCCCTACACACACCCCCCAACACCCCTACACACACACCCCAACACACACACACACCCCCACACACACCCTACACCCCCCAACACCCCCCCACACAGGGAGAGAGGAGAGTCTCTCCTCCAGTTGGCAGTTGGCAGTTGGTGGGGGGGGGGCGGGGCTATGAGGATGACGCGGGCTCGATTGCTCTTGCCTCGCTCTGTCTGACTCCCGGTTCCGATCGATGTGCTCTGACGCTCGGTTAGTGGGAATGTTACAAGATGGCGGCGGCGGCGGCGGGAGCCGGTGGCCGGAAGTGAAGCCCAAGCTCGGGGCCAGCGCGCGGCGGCGGCTCCATGGAAACGCGGAGCCAACGGCCGCCACCGGCCCGGGGAGCGGGAGCCGAGCCCAGAGAGCGTGAGTGTGTGAGGGGACACAGGGAGAGGGAAAATAGAGTGAGTGTGTGAGGGGACACAGGGAGAGGGAAAATAGAGTGAGTGTGTGAGGGGACACAGGGAGAGGGAAAATAGAGTGAGTGTGTGAGGGGACACAGGGAGAGGGAAAATAGAGTGAGTGTGTGAGGGGAGAGAGGGAGCGAGAATGGAGGGAGAGTGGGTGAGCGTGAGGGGAGAGAGAGAGAGAGTGTGAGGGGAGAGAGAGAGAGAGTGTGAGGGAGAGTGAGGGGAGAGAGGGAGTGTGAGGGGAGAGAGTGAGTGTGAGGGGAGAGAGGGAGAGTGTGAGGGGAGAGAGAGAGAGAGTGTGAGAATAGAGAGTGAGTGTGAGGGGAGAGAGTGAGTGTGAGGGGAGAGAGGGAGAGTGTGAGAATAGAGAGAGAGTGTGAGGGGAGAGAGGGAGTGTGAGGGGAGAGAGAGAGAGTGTGAGAATAGAGAGAGAGTGTGAGGGGAGAGAGGGAGTGTGAGGGGAGAGAGAGAGAGTGTGAGAATAGAGAGAGAGTGTGAGGGGAGAGAGGGAGTGTGAGGGGAGAGAGAGAGAGTGTGAGGGGAGAGAGAGAGAGTGTGAGGGGAGAGAGGGAGAGTGTGAGGGGAGAGAGTGAGTGTGAGAGGAGAGAGGGAGAGTGTGAGGGGAGAGAGGGAGAGTGTGAGAATAGAGAGAGAGTGTGAGGGGGGAGAGAGAGAGAGTGAGAATAGAGAGAGAGTGTGAGGGGAGAGAGGGAGTGTGAGGGGAGAGAGAGAGAGTGTGAGAATAGAGAGAGAGTGTGAGGGGAGAGAGGGAGTGTGAGGGGAGAGAGAGAGAGTGTGAGGGGAGAGAGGGAGAGTGTGAGGGAGAGAGTGAGTGTGAGAGGAGAGAGGGAGAGTGTGAGGGGAGAGAGGGAGAGTGTGAGAATAGAGAGAGAGTGTGAGGGGGGAGAGAGAGAGAGTGAGAATAGAGAGAGAGTGTGAGGGGAGGGAGAGAGAGAGTGTGACGGGAGAGAGTGAGTGTGAGAGGAGAGAGGGAGAGTGTGAGGGGAGAGAGGGAGAGTGTGAGAATAGAGAGTGAGTGTGAAGGGAGAGAGAGAGAGAGAGAGAGAGAGAGAGTGTGAGGGGAGAGAGTGAGTGAGTGTGAAGGGAGAGAGAGAGAGAGTGTGAGGGGAGAGAGTGAGTGAGTGCGAGGGGAGTGAGTGTGAAGGGAGAGAGAGAGAGAGTGTGAGGGGAGAGAGTGAGTGAGTGCGAGGGGAGTGAGTGTGAAGGGAGAGAGAGAGAGAGTGTGAAGGGAGTGAGTGAGTGTGAGAGGAGTGAGTGAGTGAGTGAGGGGAGTGAGTGAGTGTGAGAGGAGTGAGTGAGTGTGAGAGAAGTGAGTGAGTGTGAGGGGAGAGAGTGAGTGTGAGGGGAGAGAGTGAGTGAGTGCGAGGGGAGTGAGTGTGAAGGGAGAGAGAGAGTGAGTGTGAAGGGAGTGAGTGAGTGTGAGAGGAGTGAGTGAGTGTGAGAGGAGTGAGTGAGTGTGAGAGGAGAGAGAGAGAGAGTGAGTGAGTGTGAGGAGAGAGTGAGTGAGTGCGAGGGGAGAGAGTGAGTGTGAAGGGAGAGAGAGAGAGTGTGAAGGGAGTGAGTGAGTGTGAGAGGAGTGAGTGAGTGTGAGAGGAGTGAGTGAGTGTGAGAGGAGAGAGAGAGAGAGAGAGTGAGTGAGCGTGAGGGGAGTGAGCGAGTGTGAGAGGAGTGAGTGAGTGTGAGAGGAGTGAGTGAGTGAGAGGAGAGAGAGAGAGAGTGAGTGAGCGTGAGGGGAGTGAGCGAGTGTGAGGGGAGAGAGAAAGAGGGAGAGAGTGAGGGTGAGAGAGGGTGGGGAGTGAGGGCGAGAAGAGAGAGCGAGGGCGGGGAGTGAGAGCGAGTATATGTGCGGATAGAAATAATAGCGAGTGTGAGAATAGAGAGATAATCGTGAGTGAGGTGAGAATAGAGAGTGAAAATCGAGAGAGAATAGTGAGAGTGAGAATAGAGGGAGAGAGTGAGACTAGAAAGTGGAGAGCTGAGCCATAGAGAGCGAGAGAGTGAAATAGAGAGAGAGAATGAAGAGAGAGAACAGAGTGAGATTGTCACTCTGTGGCGCTCTCACTCTCCCGCACTTCTTTGTTTCTTATCCATTAAAATTTATGTAAGTTTAGGTGTTGAATAGTTCTGCCATTTAGTCCAATGGCTCTCAAAGTAATAATTTCTTTGAGAGCCTTGGGAAGTCCTCCTGGCGTGAAAGGCACTATACAAATGCAGTTTGTTGTTGTTGTTTCTTATAGTTGTCATATCACATCCAAAATATTCTTGGATATTTTTAGCACTGCATTGTGTTGACAATTAGATCTTTAAGTTAATCCAAATAATGGTTACCAATTAGCATTTTAATTCCAACATTCAGCCTTTATAGCCCTTTGCGTTTAATTTTATTTCAAAACATTTTAGAAATAAATGCAGTTTCTTATGAATATTTTTTGTGCTTTTAGGAACATGCAGCTCCTCACCTAAGATGATGCAGAATAGCGTTTGCACTGACTTTGTGACCCCTGCTGGACAGTGTGTCAACAGTTATGAAGTTGTGAATCTTCAAAATTGTGAAGTGAAGACTTGGTCTTTGTCTGTACCAAATTATAAGCATAATTTGCACTGCATTAGATATGAAGACAGTAGTAGCCTTAATTCCGAAGATTCAGGCATTCCCACATTGGAAATTGGAAATCCAGAGCCGATCCATTGTGGTATTTTAAATGCCAGGATGAATAATGCCGATTTATCCCAAACTACTGGAATTTCACATGAAAAACTTGTTCAAGGCTCAGGTAGTCTTCCTCCTGGCATGTGTTCACCAGCTGCACGTCTGGAGAGTGAGAGTATTTTGCGAAAGTCATCAACATTCCCCCGGACTGGCTATGATAATGTGAAACTGTACAGCCCATCTGCTAGAGGAGGAAACAAGGCCGATAACATGTCTGTAAGCAGCATCTCCAGCCTCAGCACGGAGCTATCCACCACTCTGTCTGTCAGTAATGAGGATATTTTGGATAGCCTAGTCACCAGTGACTCAAGTGCAATTGTAAACCTGGAAACTGATGATGCACAGTTCACAGATGTCAGTTTAAGTTGCTCCAGAGATACATACAATGGAGGCAGCAATCCTTTCGAACAAGAAGCCAAATACAGAAAGCTGGGCCCACTTGCCACCTTCTTTACCAGGTACTGTCCAATTTACATAAATGTGTTCTAATAGCTTCCCCATTCTTCTTAAAACTGAGTATGTACTGTGTGTGCTTTATCTGTCGATATTCATTTGGCGTCTAAATAGATTTAAGAAGGCTTTACTCGGTTTTAACAAAAGCTGATTGGTGTCTTTACCCCATCCTTGACCATAGGCAACATTGTAAAATTCCATGGTTTACTATTTATACATATATATAATATGGAGTCTGTAGCTTAGTGGTTAGAGCACTCACCTCGCAAGCAAGAGCACCTGGGTTTGATTCCCGGGCAGGGCAAAATGTAGGGCAAGTTTCCTTACTCCACATGCCTCTGTTTACCTAACATTAAATAACAACTCAGTTGTTAGTCAATTGGCAGATCGCTTTTCTGGGGCTAATAAAACGTTTTCAAAAATTCTAAGGATAATTTGGTCACTCGATCCATGACCGTGTGGGACATTGCTGTACGCAATTGGCTGACGTGTTTTGCCCACAAAATATATAGTCATTTCACTTCACGGTCTTCTGTGAAGCGCTTTGAGATGTCTCTAAAACATGATAAGGATCTATATCAAATACAAGGATTATTATTATTAATTTTACTTTTTTGTACCACTAAACGCAGAACTGTTTGGAAATATACAGCACATTAGTTAGCTTCTGAAGAGCCTGATGAAGGTTCTGTACAAAGCTTTAATTTGTTTTCTCAATGCTGAAGCTGACTGAGTTATGTATCTTATTTCAAACTGTTACTGCTTTTTTTCCAATTGCTAGCTTCAAGACTTTTTGTTAAGTTAATCTTTTTTGTATTTGAATTTTTAAATATGCAAATGTTAGTATAAAGTCCGGCAGATGTTCATTTTGCTCAAACAAATGTATAAATAGTGGAAATGATTTTTTGAAACAAATATTTTGCTAACACTCAAATTTATGACTGCCTTTAAATATGAAAACTTTACAGGAAATCTGTTTTATCCCACAAAGAAATTTTAGAAACACAAACTGCTGTAACTCCTCCTATAATGATATTAATTTGTCTGGTTTGGTGTTCAGTCTTCCACTTTTTGAGTGACCTTGTGTTTCCATGTTAACCTTGGATTAAACAATCCTCTAGTGTAGAATTGCATCTCCTTTTGTCACACCAGAATTTTACAGTTGGGATCTCTGCCATAAATACTGAACTGCACCATGACCAACCTTGAATCGGAGATTAACTTGTGTGTTTTAAAAGTTATTAAAAAAATTGTCCAAATTGGATTTTATTGTAGATATTTGTCGCTGGTTCACAAAGTACATTTATTGGCACCTTTTTATTATGTTTATGGTTTGCCTCCCCCCCACCAGCACCTATCAAATGTCATGATCATTAATGTGACTGCTGAAAGAAAGTACAAAACAATTTGCAAACATTCTACCCCAATAGGGCCTGGCAAGGTGATGATTTTCCTAACTTAATGCATCTTCAAGAGGCCTGGTTTGGTCAACTATTGGTTAACGTTTTGTTTGAGCTCTGCATACAGAGGTCAGGGGATTCCAGTTGTGGAGTGGGGGCTAAATTTCTTCAGCTGTCAGAAGCACTTTACTGCCAGTATTCTGTACAGAAAGTTGTTTGTTAGATTGATACTTGGGTGCAGAGCGTTAACATCATCATTTCTTGTTCTATTGCTCCAGTTATTATCTTGTAGCAGAATGATGCCTACACCATATGTCTTTGCTGTAGACAGTAAACATTGAATATGTCGTATTCATCAAGTCTCCTGGTTTTGGCATGACTTTTGACCCGAGTCTAGGAATAAGAGATGTTTTCTCTGCAGCCTGACAAAGCAAGACATTGTATGCCATCACAAGGCCAATCCAGCCTTTCTATGATAATGAATTTGCTTGAGACCAGAGATTGAAACTTGTTCTGATAGGATTGAATTCTCTCTTCCACAAGGGGTTCATAGCACAAAACCGATCATTATTTAGAATGAAATTGGCAATCTCACAGGCCACTTTTAGTTTTGCTCGTGAGGAAAATGGAAAAAATTCACATTACTGCAAAAGATCTTGGGTGAGCAGAGTGTGGGAGGTTGATCTGTGTGTTGTTAATGATATTTTTGACCTGACAGTGTTTGCTAATGCAACAAAATTATCTCTACATTGACATTCATCCATTAATGAGCATGAAACATCTCAATTTTTTATCATGAGAATTTGTTTTCTGTTCTATGGAGCTATGGTTTCACAGATTTGAATGACTTTGGAGCTTCGCCCAAGTTGTCATTAATATGTGAGTGTTGCTGCTGAGTGTCAGCAGGTGGATGACATTACATCCCAGCTTGGTTCTGTTTTCTTCCCCTCCTCCCTTTTCTACCCTATGCCACTGAGGCCAATTGTAAGCCCCAATTGATTCATTGACTGATCAGCTAAGAGAATTTGCTCCAAAATTATTTCAAATAAAGTTTTAACATTTCATTTTTAAAAGAGAAAGTACAGCTTAAGTCCACTAAATCGTCATTCTACTCCAAGACAATCTTGGAGGCCAAGGACAACCCCAAGCTCCTCCTCCCACCCTTTCGTACCTCGCCCATCCTCACCTCCAATGCCAACTGTGAGGCGATGCTGGACCTCTTTGCTTGTTGGCCTCCCCCAACTCCTCCCTCCATAGGCTGCAGGTCATCCAGAACTCTGCAGCCCATGTCCTCTCCCGCACCAGGCACGTGACCCAGTCACCCCCGTCCTTGCCCAACTCCACTAACTTCCCATCATACAGAGGATACAGTTCAAGATTCTGGTCCTCACCTTCAAAGCCCTCCATGGTCTTGCTCCCCCTACCTCTTCGACCCCTTAACCCACTACTATCCTGCTCGATCCCTCCGCTTAGCGGGCTCCAGCCTGCTTCACGGGAGTCCCTCGCCTCACCCGCCCCACCATTGACGTGCGGGCCTTCTGCCATTCTGCCCCCGCCCTCTGGAACTCCATCCCGCAATCCCTCCGCCTTGCCTCATCCCTTGCCTCTTTCAAGACCCATCTCAAGACCCTCCTCTTCGACCGTGCTTTTGATCTCCCTGCTTCCCGCCCTCCACCTCACCGATCCTGACCCCTAGCTCGGGTCCGAAACTCTTGACTCTCCAGCGCCTTGGGATGTCCTCCCGATGTGAAAGGCGCTATACAAATGTAATTTTGTTTTTTAGTATTTTAATATGAAAATGATTTGTTTTTAAACTGCCTGTGTATATTTTTTAAACTATTTGCTGTATATAGTGTATAGATGTTCATAGGTTGAAGTTTTAAAAAATTGAATGAAAAGTGTCATACATCTGCCTTGTATGATGGAAAGTGAGTCCAGGGAAGTGTTTGTAGAAAGCTTTTTGTGGTGACACTGAACTGTTACTATAGTGATAGTGCAGTAATGGTGAGGAATACAAGTTGACTTGTCAGCAATTAAGTATTTTGAGTTAAAAAGTATAGCAGTTTTATTGCAAAAATCGTGCTTACTCTTAGTTTATCTTGCAAACATGCCACAGGGTTTTATTTATGTATGAACCTTCGATTCATATCAAATCATTGTGGAGTCCTGTAGCTCAGTGGTTAGAGCACTCACCTTTGCAAGCGAGAGACCTGGTTCGATTCCCAGCAGGGCAAAGCCTTGGACAAGTTTCCTTCCTCCACATGCCTGAGAATAATCCTAGAGAGGAGGGAAATCAAAGCTTTGTATTAGATTATCTTTCAAATCCTCACTTTGTTCTTTTTAATAATATTTTAACTGAGTGTTCTAGGTGGACGGAAAAACCCTGGGTGTTGTGGATGTTGTAGCAGGAGAGGCCGGTGAGGAGGGCTTTTGAAAAGTCTAATCTGGTGGTGATGGAACCTGGAATGAGTGCTTTGACAACACTGGGTGTATGATCAGGTTAGAGGCGACTGAAATGGCAAAGAGGGACTGGATGTGAGGGAGGAAAGAGAGCTGAGGTTGTGTACTTGTTCACTGAGTTGAAGAGATAGACAAAGAAAATTGAAGACAGAAGCAATGAGACGTTGGATTGGTGAGAGCCCAAGAGAAAATAGCCATAAAGGACAGCTTTCACAAGATCCTCCATCATCAGCAGGTGTGGGCTTCAGTGAGATATGGAAAACAAAATTCAATCAGCACCAGTTTACCCCTCCCCCTTGACCTCAAAAGTAAAGCATATATGTGACTCTAGTTCAAGGCTGACCGTACAACTCCTCCTAGTATTAACTGAAACTGCAGAATATTCTATTTCTCTTAAACGTTTTGTGACAATGAAGTATTTAATGTGTGTTTCAGTTATGAGGCTTATTATGACCAAGTCAGACATCACATCTCATCGTTGAATATTTGCACATGTAGGCGTTGCTTGTGGTTGATCGGTACATAAGATGAACTCTCACTTGCAACCACTTTTCTACAGGCTACACACAGAACAGCCACAATTAAGCTATTTTCTGCACTTGGTATTTTCTCTTCAAGTCAGTTGGTGTGTGAAAAACAGAAGCAGCTGCATATTATGGTCCAGTATTGTGAATGTTGGGAAGTGCTGCACTGATACCATAATCCTGTGACATGATCATGTGAAGTGATGGATCAAAGTGAGTCAAAGCACAATCCGGTTACTTTCTAATCTTGTCAAAACTGTTCTGGACACTATTGATCTACTTAAATGCTTCACAGAAGAAACTGCAAAGCTTCAACAACATAGTGCTTTAGTACAAACTCACTGCACTGTGCAGTAAGTTCAGCAAAGAAAATAGATTATTGGGAATCAGCAGCTATGATGTGAGACTTGTAATCCTGTTGGTGAAATAAGATAAAGAAGCGTACGTTATGCTGTCTGTACACTAACATTTGTTAATGAATGGCGTGGAGCTGAAATGTATTAACAGTAATAATAATGCTTGCATTTGATATAGCACCTTATTACGTCTCAAAACGCTACACAGAATATACTGTAAAGTGAATTGACTATGTTTTGTGGGGGGAATGCAAGGATTATTATAATGTAGTGCTGGAGGTGTGCTGCATTGTTGGAACTGATGACCTTCAGACGAGATTTGAAATTGAGGTCCTGCCTGCCTGTTCAATTGGAAAACAAAGATCCCATAGCATTTTTTGGAAAGAGAAGAGAGTTTTTCCCAGTTTCCTGACTAAGAATTAATTCTCCAAATAAAATTGGTCATTCACTTCATGGTGTTTTGGGACATTACTATGTGCAAATGGCCCAGAAAAACTTACAGTCATTCTACACAAAATAGTGCTTTGAGACATCTTGTTAACATGAAAGGTCCTGTACCAAATGTAAATATTATTATAATAATTATAATCTTAATGCGAAATAATACATTTTGTGCCTTTTATCATGGAGCACAATATAGTATTCCCTAAGATGTTGTGTACATTTACAAAATGCAGAAAGTAATATGTTCAGTAAGGCATTCTCCCACCCACCCAAAGACATTATTCATCAGCATCTGAAAGCGAAATTGTTCAATGTAACATTGAGTGTTAATCTATATCCAAACTTTTATCAAATGAAACGCCCAAAATGTTAGCCTATTTTTATTTTTCAATTGTTGAGTAACCTGTTGTGGATTTGTATTCAATTTATTTTAAATACTCGTTTTTCCTGTTGACTAAAATAGTCTAGAGATCACAAAGGGCCACATACTTGTAAATGTCACATTTTTTTTTGGCTAAAACTGATTTGTACAAAGTGATGATCTTAGAAATCGTAGAACTTTACAGCACATTATATCTCCGTGCTCATTGAAAGAGCAATCTGTTCAATTCCATTTGCCTATCTTTTCCCCATTCTCCTGTAGATTACTTTCTGGATATCTAACCATTTACCTCTTCAAAGCATAAAGGCAAAGAGGGTTCATGAAACTCATGACAAAACTGACAACTGTGGGAATACATGGCTAAAATTTGGATTTTATTCAGAATATGTATTCCAATTCCAATATAAGTGTAAGGGTTGACGGTAGACTCACCAAGCGTATCCCCTTTGAAAGATGGGTAAGGCAAGGATATCATGCACCTTATTCAATGCATTCATCGATGATGTATTGGATGGCATTGATAGGGATGGACTTGGTGTATCTGTTCCAGGTGATCCTGACAGAAATTTGGCCCTTTTGTTTCCACATGAGGACAGGTTGCATAAACTTCTAAACTCTAGTCCCTTGAGTTCAGAAGGTTGAGGGATGATCTGATTGAGATTTTTAAAATAATAAAGGGATTCAATAGAGTAGATACAGAGAAACTATTTTCTCTGGTAAGGGAATCCAGCACCAGGGGGCATAATCTTCAAATTAGAGCTAGTCCATTTAGGAGTGAAATTGGGAGGCAGTTTTTCACCCAAAGAGTAGTGAAATTCTGGAACTCTATCCCACTTAACGCTGTGGATGCTGCCTCCATTCACATTTTCGAAACTGATGTGGATAGATATTTGTAAGGTCAGGATATCAAGGGATACAGGACGAGGGCAGGTATTTGAAGTTGAGGTACAGATCAACCATGATCTTATAGAATAGCGGAACAAGGGGCTGGATGTCCTACTCCTGTTTCTATATTTCCATGATATGCTGTTGGCCAGCTCTCCTGTCCTGCACTCACTATCTCGAGCACTAAACCATTCAATGAGACTTGGTGATGGGTGCCCCAGGCACTCCTTTAGTAATCATCTTAAAGTCATGCCCTCTTGTTACTGACTCACCGACCAATGGAAATAATTTCTTCCTATGAATATAATCAAAACACCTCATAACTTAAAATACTTCTATCCACCTCAATCTTCCCTATTTCTCCTGCAGTGAAAATAGACCCTTTAAGAGTGTGCTCTTAGGTCAAATCATATAATAATTGTTGTCAGTGTAGTGACTGTATTTTGGAAGTGACTGAAACAATTTGCGCACAGTAGTAATCATAATAATATTCTTGCATTTGAAATCTCCTACAAATAGCCAGGGAATGAATAGTAATAATCCCTGTGAAAAAAAATGCAAAATACTACCTATGCTGGAAATCTGTAACAAAAACAGAAGTCACTGGGAACACTCAGCAGGTCAGGCAGCATCTATGGAGAAAGGAAATTGAGTCAACGTTTCTGAATGGGTTCTCATGAAGGGTCATGGATCCAAAACGTTGACTCACTTTCCTTTCTCCATAGATGCTGCCTGACCTGCTGAGTGTTCCTAATAATAATCTCTGTGTTTGATGCAGAGCCTTTCCGGCCAGAAGAAGATATCAAAGTACCTCATAGGACTTTTAAAACATTTTAACAAATGCAATTCTAGGCAAATATGGCAACCAATTTACACACAGTAATGTTGCATAAACGGTCCTGAAGTGAATAATCACTATTATTTGGAGCATTGTTGGCTAGGACATCAGGAGAAATTATTCTTTTTGAGTAGTGCCGTGGAATCTTTAACGTCTCATCTGGAAGGCACCTCTGACAATGCAGCACTTCACAAAGCACTGCATTCGAGTGTCAGCCTAATGTCAGCAGTAAATCTCCTCCTCCTCTCCTGCCTCTATGCCTAACAGCCTTCCTAATCTGGAGACAACTAGAAACTGTACAGCATACTCTAGCTGGGGTTTGACTAACTGCAAGTTAAACGTGACCTCTTTGGTTTTATATTGCAAGTATTTATTTGTAAAACGTAGAAACTCATTAACTTTTTTCACAATTTTTTTCCGGCTGCCTTTCCATCATTAAACATTATATGTGTGCAGTATTAACTGGTTTGCACATATCCATTATGCAGGTTTGTACCAGTAAACTATGTTGGCAGGTAACTAGGTTGAGAGCTGCACCTGAATGGGCAATTTCACTTACTGCCTGTTTTTTTTTCTAGTCGCTATCTTGATCTATTAGAGATGCCAGTCAATTTTAGAGGTCTGCATTGTGTAACGCCACTACCCATTTGAATGAGTAGATGCTTCAACATGTTGGGCTGGTTTTGGTTGTACTCTTGGCAGGGCTTCACAGGTTGACTTGCACTTCAACTTGGCATTTGAAGCTTCAGTTTATTGGAATTTAAATTCTTGGCTAAGATGTGCATCTCATTTCCTGGTGCAGTGATTTTTATGTCCATGGGCCCTTAACTATTTGCAAACATTTCAACAAAACTGCTTTATTAGACCTTACTATACACAAGCTCTGGGTATACTATCTTCACTTGCCCGTATAAGCCCTACATTTGATTTAATAAGATAATTACCCCTAAAAATCAAAAGAACAGTTTTTTTAGACATAGCGTCAAATATTATGGTTTTAAAACCTTTGTTGGATAATGCTCCGCCTAGAAATATGATACTTCATCCGAATTGTACTCTTGTAACTCTGGGATTTAACAAAGGTTATTAATCGAACAGTGTTTACTTAGAACTTTGAAGGTCAAGAATTACACTAGTTTTATAGCCGTCTGGGATGAGGATTAGAATTTGCTCAATTTACTTCCTTATTGATGCATTGCATTTTTTTTGATATAGCGCTTTTCACATCGGGAGGACGTCCCAAAGTGCTTCACAGAACACACTGTAAAGTGAATTGACTGTATATTTGTGGGCGAACGCGGCAGCCAATTGCGCACAGCAATGTCCCACAAACAGTCGTAGATTGAAAATGACCAATTTATTATTGTTTTTGGTTTTGGAGGGATTATTATTAGGCTCCGTGTGGAGTAAGGAAACTTGCCCAAGGTTTCGCCCTCTGCCTGGAATTGAACTCAGGTCTCTCACTTGCAAAGCGAGTTCTCTAACCACTGAGCTACAGGACTCCAAAATGATGAGAGATAAGGTTGACTATAGCCGGGGATGTAATTAGGTGCTATATCAAATGCAAGGATTGTTATTATTACAAGTTGTATTTTGTTTTGATATAGTTTATTTGCACAAGCTGATATCTACCCGATTAGTTTCATAGGATTAGGCGCTATATCAAATGCCAGGATTATTATTATTATAACACTAGCATTAAAGACTAGTTTGAATAAGTCATGGATCAATTATGAATGCCCTGCTCATCTTTTTGGATGTAACCATTTTAACTTAATAAATTGTATTTTTGTCAAGCACCAACTGGTTTGTTTAAATTCTTCATAGATATCGTCTTCTCTACATCATCCTTGCCATTTCCTGCAGTCACCCTATATCAGTCTTGCTTACACTTGTCAGAAAGCAAGTCTTGGATGAGTTATGACATTTTCCTAAATGAACCCCATCAAAATTGAAGCTGTCCTTCTTTGCACCCACTCATGCTTCTTTCTCAATCTCCAGGTTTCTCACACCAGTGCATGGAGCCTATTTGGAACCTCTGTGTTTTGTTCAAGCCTTAACTCTCCTTCATACATTTCATTTGGCCTCTGACCATGTCCTCTTTCCTCCCATTTCCGCAACATCACCCACTTAATAATAATAATAAACCTTGCATTTGATATAGCACCTTATTACGTCTTCAAGACATCTCAAAGTGCTTCACAAGGTATACTATAAAGCGGATTGACTGTATTTTGTTGGCAAACACTTCTTTCACTATCTCACCCCCAGCGCTGACAAAACCCTCATCCAAGCTTTTGTCACCTCCAATCTTGATTTTTCCAACACAGTTTATCAGCTTCACTTCCCAGCTTCACTTCTCAAAACATCCAACACTCTGCAGGTATGTCCTTTCCCACACTCAGCTCCATGAGCTGATCCTTGCCTGGATCGACTGGCTTCTTATTCCCCCAGTGGATCAATGCCAAATGCTTCCATAGCCCCTCATCATCCTAGTTCTGCAACCTCTTATGACCGTAAACCCTTTAATTTGCTTTCAGGCACTTTTCTGCCATCCACTGAAACTTTTTTCCCAAATCTCTACCTTGTCCCCTCCCTCTTCATAGTCATAACCAGCTAAAAGACCCATCTCATTGTCTGAGCCGTTGGCCACCTCCACTCCTTTCCAGGTCAGGCTTCCCGAAGGACACCGTAAAGTGCTGTGACACATTCATCCAACATGAGAATGAATAAACCAATTCAGGCCATCCAGGAGAGCAATTTGCACTGCTCTCAATGATCTCTATAATGTCAGTATTCAAGTATAGCAAAGGCTTGGGGTCTCCTACCTATTTTCTGGGTTGAAGAATGATTAATAAGCAGAGGGGTCTTAGAAGTGAGATGAAATAACAGTGTGTGGAGAGGAAGGGTGAGTTTTTGAATGGCCTATTGTACACCTACAAACAAATCAGTGGTTTGTTGAATCAGCTGCCACGTTAGAATAACTGAATACTGTCAAATATTTGATTCTGTCTAGCTAGCTTATCTCTATTGAACGTCACGGAGCCTCTTTCTTGGTCACTACAAACTTGAGCTAGACTCAGCTTCGCTTATCCAGAGCCATTAGTGCACATGCACTGTTTACATAGGTATAAATGAACAAGCTCAGACTTGTTGGACTGACAAAAACCTCACCAGGAATGACTCTTCAGTTTCCATTAAATAAGGGCAGAAATATATCAACATTTCTACACCAACATGTGTGTCAGCCTGACGCAGTGGTAGCACTCTTGCCTCTGAGTCAGACGGTTATGGGTTCAAGCCCTAGGTCAGAAGTTGGAATCACAATCGTCTAAGCTGACTCTCCAGTGCTGTGGTGGGTGTGTCTTGCAATGTCAGAGGATCTGCCCTTTGGATGAGACATTAAACAGGTCCCATCTGCCTGTTCAGGTGAATGTTCACGATCCCATGGCACTATTTGAAAAGAGAAAGAAGTTTTTTCTGGTGTCCTGGTCAACAATTCTCCAAATAAAATTGGTTACTCCCTCAATGTTTTGCCCACAAAATAGTCACTCCACTTTTTACAGTATATCCTGTGAAGCACTTTGAGACATCTCAACAACATGATAAGGTACTATATCAAATGCAAGGAAGATTATTATTTTTAATAATCTCGTCAGTTAATTTTCCATTCAAAAAAATAAGATTTTAATTTCAAATATTAAGAATACTATAAATTTAGATACACACTAAGACTTTAAAAGGCAATAAGTAAAAGAATTCACACAATAAAAAAGGAAGTTTTGCTGACAGTTTTATTTTGTGACACTACTTTTTCTTCGAGGTACAGGATACATACAAGCAAGCAATAGGACCTCTCTCAATCTCTCCATTTCTCTCTTGGAGACCGGATAGGAGGTAAAATTTGCATTTTGCCCACAAAAAAATACACAATCAATCCAATTTACAGTATATTCTGTGAAGTGCTTTGAGATGTCTCAAAGCCATGATAAGGCGCTATATCAACTGCAAGGATTATTATTAAGAAAAGTGCTAATAAACATTTTGGTATCATTTGGTGAGAGATGGGGGTGGAGGTGGGTAATGTGTGGAGGTGAACAAAAGCAGTCTTGATGAGGCCCTGAATGTGAGGAAGTAAGAAGAGTTAAAGATCAAACCTCAACTCTGATGTCACTGAGGTACTGGGTTTAGTGAGTTTGAAATGGTGGCCAAGGAGGTTGATGATGTTAGAGCAAGATGGGAGGAGACATCAGCAGGAGCCAAGGCTTCCCTGCGGGAGCCAAGGCTTCCCTGCGGGAGCCAAGGCTTCCCTGCGGGAGCCAAGGCTTCCCTGCGGGAGCCAAGGCTTCCCTGCGGGAGCCAAGGCTTCCCTGCGGGAGCCAAGGCTTCCCTGCGGGAGCCAAGGCTTCCCTGCGGGAGCCAAGGCTTCCCTGCGGGAGCCAAGGCTTCCCTGTGGGAGCCAAGGCTTCCCTGCGGGAGCCAAGGCTTCCCTGCGGGAGCCAAGGCTTCCCTGCGGGAGCCAAGGCTTCCCTGCGGGAGCCAAGGCTTCCCTGCGGGAGCCAAGGCTTCCCTGCGGGAGCCAAGGCTTCCCTGCGGGAGCCAAGGCTTCCCTGCGGGAGCCAAGGCCTCCCTGCGGGAGCCATTTCTTCCCTATGGCTTACCCATGTAGAGCTTCTCTCTTGTTATTATTCTATGTCAGGTTGATAACGTGAAGTTTCCTTAGTCAGCAAATCCTGGATGATTTGTCTTGGGAACTGTTAACTTCCAGCCGCCTAGTTTATTGTCCACAGACTTTGGTTTTAAATTTATTGCCTGCGAAACATAAAACTGTCCTCCATCTAAGTAAAATAAGTTCAATATGCCTTTATATTATATATACCTGAAGTTCACTGGCATTCTGATTCCTGTGCATGGTTTTGTTTTAAAATTGAGTTTCAGTAGACAAGCTGACTCATTGAAGTGTTTAGCCCCTCCCGAAAGTATTGTGCAAATTATCAGCCCTTCCTATCCTTTGTTTTGGATTTCTGCAGAAGGAGAGGCAGTGACCTGGAGCTCCCTGAAACTTGCTAGTTCTGTTTAAAAAATGACGACAAAGTAGCATTTTTTTAAACTCTTATTGCTGGTTGTGGCCACAGCATAGCTTTGTGGCTGAACTACGCCCTGGGTCCAACTTTGAAGAAACCCATGTGACTACTTTACTGATCTCAAGAGATTGAATTTTATTGTAGTTTTGAAAACATGGCTGTTTCTCCTTTGCTCCTACTGATAGACAGGTATGGAGCTTCTTTATATTCCTTAAACACTTTATATTGGGATTTGGGGTGCGTTATGAAAGGTGCTCAAGTTTATAGGTAGCCACTATTGTTACATTTTTACATTTAAACCGTCAGGCAATTTTCATTGCATTTGAGGGTGGAACTTTTTTTATGTAATTGTCACGTATAGTTCAGTGTGAAGGGATTAATTTGATCACTCAATTCATGACTGTTTGTGGGACACTGCTGTGCACAATTGGCTACCACGGATCGCCTCCAAAATATAGTCAATTCACTTTACAGTATATTCTGTGATTTCAACATTAACATATTGTCATGCAATTGATAACAATTTTGAACTTAAAATCAGTGCACTTCTTAAAGTAGTGTACATCAGAGTTTAGTTCAGCTGATTAGCAAGTGTTTAGATTTTTGTTTGCACCATTTTCTCCTCCACTTCTCTTTTTTAAACATGGTGCAAAAAGCTATAATTTAGCTCAGGTTCATGACCACTGCCCTTATTGCAGTAATATCTTGCTGAATTGGTCTTACTGTCTGTATGCATTTGGGAGGAAAGTACCGTATGTGTGGTGTCGAATGCATCATGTAATGTGTGCTGCATAATAACCAACCTTTGTACAAATTCATGTTCTGTGTTTGAACCTCACAGACCTGGAATAGAAGTGAAATTAATGTAGTGGACGCTGAGTGGTTTGGGTTACTACATATAGTAACATTCTCTTTCTCAGCTACCTTGCTTTTTTATATTGCTGTGGTCCAAGTGTGCTTTTGCTCTGTCACTAATAATATATGCTTAAGGGTGTTGCTGTCATGTTTGTAATGTGATAACTTCTTCCCCCTCCCTTACCTTGTGATTAGCTGCCTAGAGTAACAACATTTTCAATTATATAGCACCCTTCATGTAGGATAATGTCTTGGAGCGCTTCACAAAGGTGGGGTTGAATGCCAAGCAAGGGGGAGGGGAGCGGGGGGAGGTGACCATAAGCATGCACAAAGGTAGTTTTCGTGTATGAAAACAGCAAAACACTTCATAGTGGAGTGGGAGCAAGAATGGAGGGATCAGAGAGAGTTCCCAAGAGCGGAGGCAAAGTGAAAACATCCAATTACAACAACAAAATTACATTTGTAAAGCGCCTTTCACGTCCAGAGGGTGGGGGCAGAGTGGCAGAAGGCCCGCCCGCCAATGGTGGTCCGGGCGAGACAGGGGACGTGACGTAGGCTGGAGCCCGCTGAGCAGAGGGAGCAGGCAGATTGGTAGGGGGTTAGGAGGTCGCAGAGGTGGGTTGGGGGAGAGGAAGGCCATGGAGAGCTTTGAAGGTGAGAACCGGGATCTTGAACTGTGTGATGGGAAGCCAGTGGATGTAGAGGAAAAGAAGAGGTGGTACAAAATAAACTGCCTCATTTACTTTCATAACGTGCTGCCTCCAAAGGAGTTGTTGTTGACCGCAAATTCATGAGCTAACGTTTATTGAATAATCGTCAGTATAGCCTGAAGATATGAACATGTGCAGACATATTGGTAGTTTTGAAAGGTGTGATTTTTCACGTGTGAACAGTTTTACTGCCTCCAATTGTTCACACAGGAAGCTCATATACTGTATCAGAATAATTCTAGGCCTAGAGTCTGAAATTAAATTATACTAACTAGTAAATTTGTGTTTCAAAACACTGCATCTCTCTCTTGAAAACAGCACTGCTAGTAACTTTGACCTGACCACACGCTGTCGTAAATACTGAAGACTGCAGTCCCAAAGTTAAAAATGGTGGAAATCAGAACTTTTCTCCTATTATCAACCAAGTTATATCCAGTATTACAGTAGTCTGATTAATTTGTACAAAAAGCTAGGTACAGTATTAAAATCCAGGAAACTTGTACTTCACAATATTCTCCGACAGCGGGAGGGGAGGGGTGTGGAGAAGGGAGGTAACAGGCTCCCCCTTGGAGCAAAGCTGGCTTCCAGAGTTACATGTTTGGTAATGGAAAGTCAGAATCAATCTCCTGTGTGGTTTTGGTAGTCCAGGTCCACAGCCAGGCAGGTGTGTAGTATTCCAGGGCATGACTGATGACAGACACGCCAGCCTGGTCAGCACGGTGTGTCCCTCCTGGGAAAGAGGGTTGGAGACCCAAGGAAATATCCACCTCCAGCTGGCATACATGGTAACTCTGGTTTTGGTTTAGATACTCTAAATCTAAATCATCATTAGAGTTCAAAGAGTAAAAAAAAACTGCAAATAATTGGAACTGAACCAACTACAAATATATTAAACTCAACCAAATATTGGCATCAGACTGGCTCCGTTCATAGAACTCTTGCCTTTAATAATAATAATAATAATCCTTGCATTTGATATAGCGCTTTTCACGTCGGGAGGACGTCCCAAAGCGCTTCACAGTTTGAATCAGGAGTTTATGGGTTCAAACCCCACATCAAGACTTGGAACCCTTAGAGTCTGCTCTGAATAGCAGGATGTTGATATATTCTCGAGGATATTCATGATTAAGCAGAATTGTGTGAGCCTACCTGCTGTTAACTGCGTTGAAGCTAGTTTGAAATTTAATTTTTAATCTCTTGACTGTCTATCAGTGGTTCTTGGGGTTGATGAATTTCTTAACCAGGTTTTTGCAGATACAATCAGTCTGGTGGTAGGATGTTAATAATTAATAAATTCTATTATAAATTTTAAATTTTAATACATTTGATTTACTTGGATGAAATATTAACACAAAGGTAGAGGTGTCAGCTTCTTTTAAATATAGACAAGAAGTAAAAAACTCAGCTGACTTCCTCAGATCTCAGTCCAATAATATGCCCTCACCAGGAGAAATATGACTCAATAAAGCTAGAAATGTTTCAGTTGTGGGTATACCCTGCACTGTTGGCTGGAAGAGTCCTGTAGCCCAGTGGTTAGAGCACTCGCTTTGCAAGCGAGAGACCTGAGTTCAATTCCAGGCACAGGGCGAAACCTTGGGCAAGTTTCCTTACTCCACACAGAGCCTAATAATAATCCCTCCAAAACTAAAAACAATAATTAAATTGGTAATTTTCAATCTACGACAGTTTGTGGGACATTGCTGTGCGCAATTGGCTGCCGCGTTCGCCCACAAATATACAGTCAATTCACTTTACAGTGTGTTCTGTGAAGCGCTTTGGGATGTCCTCCCGACGTGAAAAGCGCTATATCAAATGCAAGGATTATTATTATTAAGAGACATTTTATTGGCAGATAACCAATCAGATAAACATTCATGTTTGTTAAATGGAATGAAATGCTGCAGAAATCATAGGGCTGAAGGTTTGAATCCTGGCAACTGATGAAGAAACACATGGAATGTCACAGTAAATCAGTAACCATAGGTTTACAGCACATGATTACGTTTCAGGCTCAAGAGAAATTGGTCTTCATGATTTTGAGAACATTTGAATGTTTGGCCTGAGCAATTTTTTTTAACCATTGATTTTTCAAAAAATAATGAATGGAAAGGTTCAGGATTTTTTTACACCAGATTCTCTGCACTGTTAGTTTCATAGGTTAGTTTTCACTTTACTGTTGTCAAAAGATCACAAAAGAGGTTCAGATAAAGAAGACTCATTTCAGCAGGAAGGTAGTGGAGTAATCCCATTACAGCAACACGCTGTTTCCTAAATGAATCTAGCATCCTGACCCCAGCAGGCATTCCTAGTACTTTGTTCCAGTCATTAATTTATTTCGTATAAGAAGTACTTTCTGATGTCTTCTTGAAATTACCTTTTAGAGTCCTGAACGTTTGTTGTCTTGTTCTGGTGCCTTGGGATATCTGAAAAAATTGTTCTAAGTTTACTTCATTAAATTTAGTATCTTGTGTACCTCTACAGTACCCTTTGAGATTTCTCTTTTCAAAGCTTAAGAGCCCTTGCTTATCTAATTGTTCCTTATAACTCTTCCCACTGACACGGAGGGTCAACATTGATGCCCACTCTGCACTGCCACTTGGGTCTGGCAACCAGCTTACTTGGTGTCAGCCTAGCTCATCTCATAGCACTCATTTCTGAATCAGTAGGTTGTGGTTTCAAAATTCACGTCAGGACTTTAGCTCATAGTCTATGATCCTCCAATGTAATACTCAGGGAGTGCTGCATTGTCAGAGGTAATGTCCTCTTTTCTTTTATAATTTCCTCCAAAACAAAACCCCGGGTAAGCCAAAGCCCATCTGCATCTGAGAACCTTATCACTGGAGATCAGGAAGCTCAGTCCCGATCAAAAATTGAACATAGACTTTTTTGGCCTTTGTCACTTTGTACAATGCCATCATCCCAACTGTACACTACATTTGGAATTTTTTTATTTTTATTGATTTCGAAGGATATATAGTATGTAGCTATGATTATAATTCAAGGAACAATTGCAGATGTCAGTAGCCTTACTTTATAGTGATGGAATAAAATGTTTATTAATCAAAACCTTGTTTGCTGCTTGTAATTTTAATTTGACCTAGTTTTCTCATTTCTTTTTTAATGGGAGAAGTGCAATCTGCCAATATATTGTTTCAAATATAACAGTGCATATTTATTTTTTCGTACATTCAGTCTTAAAGGCACTATTGTCTTGAAATATATTTTGGTGCAGAGCAATAAATATTCATTTGAGAATGTGCACCAAAAACGTGACTATCAATATCAACATATTATTGAATTGTCAAATCGTAATTGCAGTGAAAATGATCCACAGATCTTCCTGCCAATGATCTTACTGTTTGTTTAAGTGGTCCTCAAGTGAGACTGGAAGATGGTGACCTTTGATGACTGCATATAATTTTGAAGCTTTTATCCTCGTATACAAATATGCCTTTGAGACAATTGGAGGTACCTCAAATTAGAGGCTGTTTACTGTTGTGAATCTTTTAATGTATGCTTGAATTGGGAAATTGAAAGATGAAACTCTATTTAATGAAAGGAGCAGAATATCGTACTTTGAATTCATTTTGCTTAGTGACTCCTCCCATTTCTTGCAGGAGTTTATTTGCTAAGAAGCTCAAAGAATCTGCAACTGTAGATCAGAGTCCTCCAGGGTGGAAATTGTTTGGAAAGATACCGACTAAGGAAACACCTCGAAAAGATGCTAAGAAGATTCAGCAGGTATGTCATTGCTTTGGTATCACGGATGCCAAACTTTTCTTTTCACATTTATGCTGTGGAAGTATTCCCCAACAACATTTGTTGTGAAAAGATAAGTTTCACGTTTCTATCCTTTAGTAAAATTGTGCAACACATAATGCACCTAAGTACAAATATAATTGCTTTAGCTTTCTAAAGGACAAAAAATGTCGGACTCCAACATTTCCATACATTCCAATGTAAGGAAAAGATGTGTAGACCTATAATATGCCTTGTGGCAAATTTGTGCTAATTGTATCTTAAGTAATTATTGAAAGTCAATACGAGCATAACTCATTACTTACTGCGAATTAATACTGTTCGTTTTACAAAACTAAGAAATCCCTGCGAATTTGACCCAATTGCTTTTTCTGCACTTCATAAAGCATAAATATAGACTAGTTTGTGTTGACATTAAATGCTACAAAGTTCCAATTCATATTTGGATTTAAATTACATAGATAGGGGTCTTATCAGTAACATTTGATTTATTCTATCCCTCTGCTAATGCAGCTTAGTGCTTCTTCATCTTTTTCTCCACAGACATACAGTGGGATGGTGAGTTCAATAATCTTTTCCTAATAAGCACCCTTTCGTGATCAGCATGCTGCTTTAATGTTCCATTGATAAATGAATTTTATTTGATTCCTTGCTCCCCAAAGATGCTTATACTTGATAGATAGGCACCTGAGAAATAAAAACAGTGTAAGGGATATCGGGAAAGAGGATATTTTTTAAAAAAAGGTAACTGTGACAAACAAGATAAGCTGAATTGTCTCTTCTAGTGCTGGCTGAGAAACATGGTGTCTATGCAAATTAATTTCCTTTTATTATCACTAAAGTATATGTGTATCCACTGTTCCTGTTTCCTAAACATCCATATCCTTACGAACCTGGTTTCATTGTTTCTCTGCTTCCTTTTTATCATCCTGCATGGTTTAAAAGCTTTATTTCAATAACTTCAATCAAGTTATTTTGAATAGAAAGTTCCAGGACTAATTCCAAGAGTACCACATTAATAACGTGAACATTGCAGTTTGACATAATTGTGTGTGATATCCAAACACATCCAGGCGATATTTCTCCATATAAATTTGTTTTTAGATTTTTAAAAATGTGCTTTTGCTTTGTTTTACAAAGTACTATGGGTGTTCATAGTAAAATAGTGTAGTGAATGGGTTTCAGATCTTCTCTGATGATGGGAAGAAATAGCATATTTGTTTTTCAATTTTATAATTTGTGTTCTAGAAGAAAATAAATTGCAAGGGAGGGAGTAGAGAGGAGCTGCGACAGTACAGATAACATTCTGTTCCACTGAACTGTTGTGAATAGTATTTGTGAGGTTCTTTTGGACCTCTGACACAGTGTAATCTTGTTTTACAACAGCATTGGAAATATTTATTTAAGCTATTTCTTGAGGGCAAACAGTCATGAACTACTCAACTGCCAGCAGTCAGTTTTACTGTGAACTGTTTATACAATTAGAAGGCAACTGGTTGCACTTATGCCTGTTTATTTTAAAGAATATAAAACTAAACCATGTTTGAAGTTTTTAACTTGAGAGCATTTCAATTTGGATCTCTAAGATATTTTTAAAGAGACCAATTATGCCTGAGGGGAAAGAACCACTAAGCATCATTCCACCTTGTGCAATTGATACAAAATAAGACACAGGGCTGCAGGAAAACAGAACCCTTTTTTACTTTATTTGTACTTTCATTGCCAGAGTCAATCTGTCCTCGGTTAGAAGACGTATGGTCAGATAAAAAGTAAATATTACTGTTTTTTCTTTCTTCACCGGATTAGTCATCAAATTTCTCTCTTAATGGTATTACACCACTTTCTCTCTGATTGTTTTTGTGAGTGAAACAAGAAGTTCAATTTCAGCTCCTAAGCAGAGGCTGAGGTATCTCACGGTTGGCAGGGTGCAGCAGCTTAGACAATAACTCTAGCCTCGACCTGAAGAGAGCCTTCAAAGACTGTATAAAACTGTTTCTTTAAACCTTCCGTTAAATCGTGTTCTTACCAAGCCTGCTTTCTTCCATATCTGAAACATTGCCCACTTCCTCACCTTAATCCAATCCACTTCTTGACTTTTCCAACTTCTGCTCTCAGGCCTCCACATGCTTCAGATCATCCAGAACTCTGCAGCCTGCATCCACTCTTGCATGAGGCTCTGTGTCCCATCTCCCCCATCCTTGCCCTGCTCCACTGGTTCTCCATTCCCCCAATGGATTCACTTTAAGATCCTCTTTGTTATGTTCAAATGCTCCATGCCCTTGCCCCACTGTACCCATGCAACTCCCCTCCCCTGGCTACTCCTCCACTTTGCCAACTCGGGCCTGCTTCAAGCATCTCTGCTGGTCTTCCCCACCATCAGTGAGCAAACTTCGAGCCACTTTGTTCCTGCTATTTGCTTCTCGCTGCTTTCAAAAGTGGTCTACAGACTCATCTCTTTACCGATTCTCCTTCGCCGTCTCCCCCACATCAACGTCCCATCTCAGACTCCATCTTTCCAAAACACTTTGAGACATCCTCCCTACTTGAAAGGTGTTTAAGTGCAAGTGGTTGTTGTGTGGGCCTCCCAGCTGCCTACCCTCTTGGCAGCAGAGGTGGAAGGCCAACTGTAAATAACAATGGGGAACGCTAACTTTGAAAATTGCCTGCCTTGAGACCTATCTTTTGGACACCTTTCCCCCCCCCCGTTCCTTCACCTTCCTGAGCTCTTCCCACCCCCATCTCTTTGCTTCAAGACATCCTTTGGACATGAGACACCATATATAACATAAAATTGATTTTTAAAAACATAGCTGGAGAGAGAAATCCTTAAAATTGGTTTTGCTTTAGAAATTAGAGCTTGTTGAAATCAGAAAACCTTAAGGTTTGTGATTCCAAAGCTTTTTTAGAAATTGTCCTCTGAAAAATTACTGTATTACTTCTAATATAGTAAACTGGCTGCCGAGTTACTTCCCTTCTCAGTTTCCACTAGTTTCATTTTACTTTATTTGGATAGAATTTCAACTATTTTTATATCGGAGGTATCGCAATTGTGGAATATCAGCATTAGATTATTCTCAAAAAAACATTGCTACCGGAATGTGTTGGCAAACTCAAAACAATCGTGCTCTACAGATGTACAACATGGACAGCCATGCTGACGCTTGACTCCGACCTATATTCTGACCATTTTTCTAGTTCTCCTCACTTGCTGCTTTTTGAGGTTTCTTTGCTGAGATATAAGCTCACGGAAGTTTTTTTGTATTCATTCATCTTTTATGGAAATGCCACCGTGAAGTAGGATTCTCTATCAGCATCTTCCACCTCTCTGCAAAACTCATGTCAGCGTTCTTAAGGAAATAATCCTGCGAGGCTGAACTGCAATGCAGACAGTTTGCTGGAAATGCACAATCAGCAAGAGCAGTTTGATCATGATCTGGAACTTGATATTGTGACATGAAAATTTGATGTTTTCCCCTTGACCCCTCTCCTGTTTGCTAAATAAAATTATTTCTGAGAAAACAATGAGAGAGCCTGAGAATGGCAGCGCATATCTTTGACATAGTCCAGGTAAACTTCCTTTTTTTAGTTCTGGTCTGATACTTTTTTTTAACAAGCACAGTTTAATGCCATATTTGTACTCTGACAACAAAATAAAACTTTCTATGAAAGACGTGCCATTTTGTTTGTGGTCTATCTGTAAGAGATTGTTTCATGGACCTGAAACTGAGTTTCCTATTGCATAAGGGAGGGAAAATGTGCTTCCATTTATGATTACTTGCATAAATTCTGTCACTATGTCTGGCCAAAGGCTAACCAGCAAAATGCAGATGTGTAGATGACAGGTTAAGTGTAAAAATTAGATTAATGTCTATTAATCTAGAAGCAAGCGTTGCATTAATCTCTGTTAGTGGAACTGCGATTGTTTGAACTATGTACTTTTTTCAGAATCTTGGACTGATGAGTGTATACATTTACTGCAGCTTATTTAAGGTGTACAAGTCCAATACTCGTCAGATCATACAAATATCTACTATAATCCCTGTAAAAAGAAAAATTGGTCACTCAATCCACAACTATTTATGGGACAATGCTGTTCACAATTAACTACCACGTCTCGCCCACAAAATACACAGTCAATCTACTTTACAATATATTCTGTGAAGGGCTTTGAGATGCCTCAACGACGTGATAAGGTGCTGTATAAAATGCAAGGTTTTTTTTTAACAAATCATACTTAATGTAAATTTCTACTTCAGCTTCTGTACTTGGGATGGTTTTCAGTTCACTTGTGCATGTGTAAATTAATTTGAGAACCCACAAGATGAAATTGTGATTTAAAGCAAACTGTCAACAGTGAAACCTCACTCCCGTAATGGAGGCAGAATACCACAGGGAATGATTGAAATTGGCAAATAATTTAGGTCCCAATCCTAAAATGAAAGCCAGAATTACTACCAACCAAGCAAAGGCATTACTTCAGTCTCTGATTTTTCTTTATTATATAATTTTACGTTTACTGGCAGGAAATAAAAGCATGTTTGCCATAGCTAAGAATTTTCTCGCTCCCATGCTTTGTGAAATTAATTGTTTAAGAAAATAGCAGTAGTGCTAGTTATACTTTTGACTTTTGTGACACCAAGATCTATTTCATAATCTACAGCTGAGGTTTGTGCTTTTTTTTCCTTTTCCATAATATATTAAGATGATTTTGCATGTGGCAAGAAACTTTGCACTGGTGTGGAATTCAGAAAGCTGGTTCAGCTTGGCTCATCTGCTCCCTTACTTACTGTTTTATGATATCCCCCTCCACATGTTTGTTTCCTTGCCTATCACCTCTTCATTGATATTTTTATCTTTTGTGAGCTACTTCTTCATCATGCCTCCCATTACAGAATATCAGAGAATCAAGATTTTACTGTGCATCACTTAACTTCTGTGGGACTTGGCTCAGTGAGAAAATAGTTCATGAAAAGAGACCTGTAACTGTTCTGGGCTATAAATGAGCATGACTGGATCAGCTGTCATCGCAACCCTGCCTTTTCTGGCATTTCTCTTCTGCTGCCTTTGTAACTTAAATCTATTCTACCTGTCTGACTATTGATATCAATTGTGGAATATTTGACGTTGACCTTTTCCCCCAACATGTATGAAATTCATAAACTTATAGTGAACTGTAGCAAACCACAGAAAACGGTTTATGAGTGAGGTCACCTTGAATTTGTTTGCGGCTTTTCTTCCACCGTTACAGTTGTATTAGTTGCAGGCCTAGTGTGCTCCACCACCGTAGTTTCATGTATAAGAGGGACAAGTGATATTATGTAAGGAATGTGGATAGTCAAAATTTTCAAACATATACAAAACCAAAGCCAAGAGGGAACCAGCATTTTGGAAAATAATGTATGTAGCTCTTAATAATAATAATAATAATAGCCTTTACATTTGATATATTATTACATCATAAAATGTCTCAAAATTCTTCACAGGTTTTTACTGTAAAGTGCAGTTACTGTATTTGTAGGCAAACACAGCACCAATTTGTGCACTCCAGCAGCAGGGAA